CCCCAGCATAACAACAACTGACATAACACCCCACCCGCCCTTCAGACCTCAGCATGAGCGGAACCTATTGCTTGCCAACATTTGGCGTAGTCATGGACTGACAATTGGCTCCCTTCAGACCTCAGCATGAGCTGGAACCTGACCCCAGCATAACATTTGGCGTAGTCATGGACCTGACAATTGGCATAGTTGGCAGGATACGGTGAGTGAGTCTTTGGCCCCTGAAGGCTCCTGGGTTGGTTATGTGGCTGCAGCATGGGCTGTGGTACCTGGTGTCAGCGGTGCTGCCTGGATGGGCCCCAGTGGAAATGTGGGAGGCAGTTGATGCGTCTCCTGCAAGTGTGGAGAAAGCACCAAGGCAACTGGAAGCACGCAGCACAGAGAAGGAACGCACCTTCACCAGCAGAGTTGGATAGGCATTTCTGACTGCACTGTGTGAAATATATACTCAGTCCCAGAGATAAGGGACCTCCCAGTGCAAGCCGTGTGCCTGGGGACCCAAATGCACAGCTTGAAGCAAAACCTGGGGGTGAGGGACGTCCAGGTACAAGCAGGGCACTTGGAGGCCCAGATAAACAGCCTGGAACAGGAGTTAGCAACAGCTGTTAGTGCGACCTTGAGCCCGTCCTCCAGGCTGGACAGTCCTATTTGGTCTGATCCTGAGGAGGAGGGGGCTCCACCACTGCAGGCTCACCCTATGATCTGTCAGAAGGTACAACATGACCATCCGATGGGAACCCAGTGGAGAGGCCTGGGGCCCCCCACAGTGGTGGAACACACCTCTTACAGTGCTCACACACCCACTGAGTTGTTAGAGTCAGGTAAACAGTGTCAGCAGCACCCAGTGCCCCTCCCTGCCTGGCTACTCCATCTTTGGCACAAGGGGGCTGGCAGCATTTCTTGCTCCACCTCTGAGATGGAAAAGCTAGGCTTTTATCACAACTCACCCCTCCCTTCGTCAGTGGCCGTAGCTGTGCCAATAGTTGGCACAAGGGCATGGTGAACACACGTTAATTGAGTGGCTAATGGCAGCCATACGGACTGTTTGGAATGATGCTGGAGAGATACTAGAAACTATGAGTAAATGGTGATCATATACTCATTTTGTGCAAATACTCTGGAAGATGGGTATAGAGCAGACCGTTTGACTTGAATACCTGGGGGCCAGATGATGAACGCTTTCCCTCCCATATGAGAGATCTTGTGGTGGGCTCAGTGCCCACGAGTGCTTTTGGCTCTCTGGCTGCTGTTCTCACCCCATATGTAGGGTGCTGCCTACATGAAGTGACTACTGCTATGGCAGCCCTCGGGGAGGCAGAAGGCTGTCAGTTTGCCTTCTTAGGAGGTTGATAATGGACTTTCACAGTGTTGCTGCAGGGCTATATGCATAGCCCCACCATGTGTCATGATCTTATTAATGATGCTATGTTAACCTCTGATTCTCTTGCAGATTTAGAAGCGGCAACGCTCTTCTTGCCTAGGATTGGGATGATATTGCTGAGACAGTCTTTCTGGTAGCCAAGCAGGCTAGTTAGCAGGCACAAGCCCTACAGGTAATTGACCAGAGGTGCCCATTTAAGCTAGATGTGCCTGTGACCACAGAGAGTTTCAGTTAGGGCCTATGGCAGTGCACGGGGCACCTGAGAATGCCAGTAGGCTTTTGGTCCCAACTATGGAAGGGAGCGGAGCTCTGGTATTCCTTGATAGAAAAGCAGTTAGTAATAGCAGGATGGGTGCATTCACGGATAACAACCCCCCGGATTGGGAAGCAGTTAGCAAGTGCATATGCTGCCTTTCAGGCTCATAAAAGCATGGCAGAATGGGCTATAGTCATCGTGCAGAGTATACCCAACAGCATGGTAGGTACACTCATGGGTAACGACCCCCTGGATAGGGAAGGTGCAGACATCCACTTTAGCGAAGTGGGGCCCCTACTTGCAGCAGTGATATATGCTGAGTACAAGTCCCTTAGCAGCAGATTTACAAAAGGTCTTGAAGCCTATCGTCCTAATGCAAGATAAGGCCATGGAGCCTGAGGCACCCCCGCCATTCCTGATGGGGCATGGTATACAGATAGGTCTAGCCAGAGGACTGCTGCTGTCTTGATTGCTGCTGCAGTCTAGCCTAACACTGACACCATATGGTTTAAAACCAGGTACAGATAAAGTAGTTAATAAATTGAACTCAAGGCAGTGTAGATAGTGATCACCAAGGAGGTGACACCTGTGGTAATCTGCACTGATGCTGGGCAGTTTATCAAGGCTTAACCTTGTGGTTCATTACCTGAAAGTTACATAATTAGCTAGTTAGTCACTGACCCATGTAGGGCCAGGCCATGTGGCCAGATCTATGAGAGGAAGGATGACCTTCTACAACCAGGTAAAGGGATGAACAGTAATCTGTTATTGCCTGCCCCAACACCCCTAAAGGTAGGGAAACGACAACAAAAAAACCTGGTGTTGGCCATGAACCCTCCAAGCCCCTCACTGCAGATGGTTGGCTATTGTGGCCCCCTGTGGGGAGAGTCTGCAGTGTAATTTACAAGTTACTCCTTGGATATTTAGAATGTGGCCTCCACAATTAATCGTTGGCAGGGGAATGGCCGGGGAAGGGACCATCCTCCAGGGAACATATATGCTGTCTGTGTGACCTCTCATAAGCTTCCCTATAACTTTAGCATGGGTTCAGGACACAAAAGAACCATGGGCAACTGATAAGGTGTGACACCATTGCCCAGGGCAGAAGCCCTTGGTTACTGCATTGTTATCCAGAGATAAAAGGTGACTTGAATTTTGCCTGAGACTCACGATTTACCCTTGTTAGTACCTGTGTCGTGGACCTGACAGATGTCTATCTGGAAGGCCCCTGCAAAAGCAGTCTTTGGGAGTTTTACATTAAGCAAGGCCCAAGGCATTGAAAATGCCTAACAGGTATCAGACCAACATACTTATTAGGTCTCTCCTCTCATGAATCTCACCTGAGTTATGCCAGAACAATAAAAGCAAGCTCAGGCACAGAAAGCATCCACATTTTCCATATAAAATAGTATCTGCCTTTTCCCATGCTGACTGCAAAGCAGCTTATTTACAAATATATAAATAGCTGCAACTTTACTCCAGCCTCATTGAAAAATCAAAATGGCGTCATGCAAGAGAAGCATCCTAGCATACTTGGCTCAACAAGTGAAATGTAAGTGGAAATGAGCCAGGCTACTTGACACTCACGGGGCAGCTCAACCAGATACCCCCAGTTTCCTATAGTGGAGGTACCAGAGTTCTGCTCCACAGAACCAGAGAATTCACTTACATTCATTACCCATGGATTGGGCAGTGATTTCGAACCCAAAATTCAGAAAACAAATTCCAAGTCATGCCTAATATTTATAATCACATGAATTCAAAAAGAAATAGCATTGTCTAAACGTGGCAGCAAGTTTTCCAATGTAGCTACTTAAAATTAGCTAAGTCTTCTCACATGCAGTCCAGTGAGTTTTAAAAGGTTTCACTCCAATCCTTTTGCCATCTGGCCAGAATTACAGGGGTTTAAATCCAAAAGAAGGTGGGGAGAGAAAATGCATCTTAATTTTTAAACAGAATGTATTGCTTTTCTTAAATTTATTAATTAAAGTTATCTACTACTAGTTAAGAAACATCTAAATATATACATGTAAGAAATATTGCGCTTTTCATCTTTCCTTTATGGCATATGCATACCTAAGCATGGAACTGCTGTGCCCTGAGAGTTTAATGCCTGCTTATGAGATCACCTGAACAGCAGCCGCTGTAGCACAGGTCTGTACAGTTACATCTGCTGAAGTGTCCCACCTAACAATCACCCATTATATCCCCTGATTTGAAATTCCTTCCTTCCTTAATATTCTTGTTTGTTACCAAGTATTGAGCAGTTTACTTTTAAGGAACCATTTCAGTCATTAAATGAAAATTACCAAAAGTATCACAAAATAGGTTTAAAAGAAACTTTTCTCAAAGAAAAAGTATAGGTTATGAACCTCATTTACCCAGAACATCTGAGGAAGGGCAATGAGATGATTAATGCTTTTTCCCTTTAAGAATTCAAATTTTGAGGTTCTCCACAATTTTGTCTGTCTTAAATATTAGGCTACCACCCAGGAACTGAGAACATAAATACATATTTTCACACAAAAACATATGTGTTGCATATTAAGTAGAATTTTGATGGGTTTTTATTGCAGTATATTCATACATGAGAACATTCATCTTGGACTCCAGGAATAATTATCCTGACCATATGTGCTACCTGTCTGCCTGATAACTCAGCTTTCTGAATTACTATCAAGTCATCCTTTAATTATTGTCAACTATGTGGGAAATCACTGTTGCCTTGTATGGTTGCTGACCAATTGTCACTATTTGAATGGAAAGTGATTTTTTTTTTTTAACTCTAAGTGTATCTGTAGAAAAAAGAAAGAAAAAATAAGAGAAAACTTTGGTAAATCTATTTTAAAATTAAATGAGTATCAAGACCAAAAATAAAAGCACAAAAACAGCTTTTTATTTACTATGTACGCTATACAATAGATGAGATGAACACCTAAGAGCTAAATTATTTTATTTTAACTTAAGAAGCATAGAAAATCTAAAAATTTATACAATAAATATCAGTCTTTTGGCTCTGAATCTATATAATGCCTAATGTTTTAATGTTTACATTGAAAAATCTAATATTGGTTATGTCTACTTTAAACATAAACAATATTTCTTCAGAAATGGGTTTAATTACTATTCTGTAATGATTGTGCCTTTTTTCTGTATATATAAATGGTATTTACACTGTAGAGCAAAGATTAGATTGCAATGATTTTTATAAACAACAAATACATTAACAACACATTTACCACCACATTCCAGTGAGGATGATGCTATTGAAAAACTTTATTTTTAAAACAAATTATTTGAAATCTCCTTAGAAAATAATTTATGAAGTATTATTAAACATAAAGAAAATAATTTTTTACTCACATAGTGTCTCTAACATGAAGTGCACTTCCCAATTTGAAACAGGTTTTATCACTTTCACAAAATGCACGTCTTAGAGAAAAGCTCTCTCCTAGATCAAAACCTGTCAAATGCAACAAATGATTCAATACAGCAGTTTTATTAAATTTAATAAACTAATAGAAATGTTAATTTCTAAACAGAATTTTGTGTTGCCCTTATCTATTAATTGATCTACTTCAAACAAAATCTTTGGGATCAGCTAAATTTCTTGATTTTATTTTTCTCCCTTTAGTGTAAAAGAAAATGAAATTCACTTTGCATATAAAACGTGTAGCCATTTTTCTAGAAAAAATTTCATGAATATATTTCAAAAAAATTCAATTTTAATTTCCTTTGAGCTAGGAATTATCTTAAGTAAAAATTAGAGTAACTCACTGCAGCAGCTCTGATGTCTAAAGTAAGAAAATTAGATTAAAAATAGTACAGCCATTCAGTTTAAATCGAAGCAACCTTTTACAAAATTATGCTTTAAAGAAATGTATATTGATGAGAGGAAATGCTTACATATGAATGTAATATAAGAATTATACGTGTTTGTGTGTCACACGCTCATTAGCATTTGCATGGGAGAGAAAGAGGAGGAGGAGGAAAAGAAGGAGAAAGAAAGATAAGAAAGATTACCAAAAGGAAAGATAAGAAGGATTACCAAAATGGTAATCTTATCTTTATCTGGGTAGTGACATCTTCCTTCTCACAATTTTTTTTCTTCTTCCAAAATTTCTACAATGGTCACAACTTGTATAATTTTAAATAATTTTTTTTTTTTTCTCCAAGAAGTTGAGGTATTGTTGATCACAGATTAAACATATAGAACCCTGCTCTCAGAACTTTTTCTACATCATCTACCTTAAATTTTTATGGGCTGGGAGTGGTGGCTCACGCCTGCAATCCCAGCACTGTGGGAGGCCAAGGCAGATGGATCACTTGAGACCAGGAGTTCAAGACCAGCCTGGCCAATGTGGTAAAACCCCATCTCTACTAAAAATACAAAAATTAGCCATGTGCCTGTAGTCCCAGCTACTTGGGAGGCTGAGGCAGGAGAATTGCTTGAACCCAGGACGCGGAGGTTGCAGCGAGCTGAGATTGCACCATTGCACTCCAGCCTGAGTGACAGTGAGACTGTTAAAAAAAAAAAATTAAAAAGAATTCTTAAAATTTTTATGTTAATGCTATGATCTTAAATTGCAGTATCAAAGATTCACCTATAATGTATTCCATATCTAGCATTTGGTGATAATTTTACATAAAATATTACTTTGCAAAGGATTATATTGCCTACCTGAAACTTCAACTTTGTTTATGTTGTCATAGGTCAGCTGATGTCCCTCTATTCTCAGGATAGGGCATGATTCTTCTATTTAAAAAGACAAAAAGCATAGAAGATTTGCATTATGTTTTCTATCAAATTCTTCAAATGAATTTTAATTACACAGTACAATCAGAAACTTAAGATAAAATGGAAATAAATTAAACCATTTATTAAATTTCTGTAAAATGAGGATAAGAACATTACCCACCTCAGTGTTTTTGTGAGGGTTACCTGTGGTTATTTATGTAGAGTGCTAAGAACACTGCCTGGTTCACAGTGAATACATGTTGGTGTTAGCCATTATTATTATAACTATTATTTGAACACTTTATGTATCCTTGACATTTGGAAATAAGCTAGTTTTAACATCATTAAACTTTCGTATTCAAAGTAAAACAGTAAAACAAGTGAACTACTAGTATATTTTTATCACAACTTTAATTCAAGTTTTGGTGTTGGGTGATATTAAACTTTAAAAACTACAGGGAACATATATGGAAGTTACTAAAATAAAATTAAAAAAGCAAAGATCTCTACCATACAAAAGTGGCCTATAATTTAAAAAAAAAATAAAATAATTGAGAGAGTTTACTTATGTGCTACAGCACTTAGTGATAGTCAAAGAAATAAAAGATAGTCCCAACTCAGTGAATGTACACGTTTAATACTACCACTACACACTAATACAGTAATGGATATGCACACACCAGTTTTTCAACATCTTAGGATATGTTTAAATTGAATCAGGCTAATTCAGTTAATTCAGACAAAATTACAGCCAATTTTTGAATTATGCCAAGATAACTGTACAACTGGACAGTTAAGACCATTAGTTTAACGTTTTAAACTAAATTGATTAAATATTTTGGCATCATTTAATCACAACTTTAATTCTCTATGTCTAAAATTGATATTTGGGTTTAATAACTTAGAAGTTTTTAATATAGAGAGGAGATAAACTACTTAAAACCAAATTGAAATTGCCGACTCACCATTTCCCCCTTCATTTAACAAATATATCATAGACCTCAGGTGCGGTGACAGGGTATCATCTTAATATATTTAACCAGAAAATAAATCAGATTCTAAATAATGCTACCACTTAATCAAATTTTAAAATAAGCAGCAAAAACACTACAAAAAACATGCTGAACACAATTTGTAAAGTAAGTGAAATTATAGTACTGAGTACTTATAGATATTACTTAGCTAATATGGAAAATTGCTATCTTAGAGATCTTAATACAATTGCAGGCTCTAAATAATAGTAAAATTATTAGAGATTTGTAAACATTATCAATTAATGATTCGGATTAATAGTCATTTTTATAAAACCCAAACACCTCATCCAAGATCTGAACACTAAAATCTACAAAACATGGCTGACAGAAATTAAAGACTTAAATAACTGAAGGGATGAACAAAATACTTAGAATGCAAGACTTAAAATTGTTAGGATGTTAGTTCTCGGTTTTTATCTCTAGATTCAGAGCAATGCCAATTAAAATCCCAACAGTATGGTGTGTGTGTGTGTGTGTGTGTGTGTGTATGTGTGTCTATGTGTAAAACTGACATGCTGATTCTCAAATTTATATGAAACTACAGAAAAAAAGCTAAAATAGTAAAAGGCAAAATTAAAGGAGAATAAGTTAGAGAGCTTTAAGCTATCAGATATAGTTTTTTTTTTTTATAATGTGGTGTTGGTACACATACAGAAAAATGCAAACATAACCCAAAACATATGGTCTCCTTATTTACCACAGAAAAGCCACTCAATTCAGTGGGAAATGGATGGTTGTTTTGCTAAACGGTGCTGGGTCAATAGAATATCCATGTAGAAAAACACTGAATGTTGAAACTTACTTCACACCATGCACAAAAACTAACTAAAGATAATCAGAGAAATAAATATGAAAGGTAAAACAGTAAAGCATCTACAAGACAACAAAGTCTTCATGAACTTCGGATAGCAAAGATGTCTTAAAAAGAACACAGAAACCATTAATCACAAAAGAAAGGATTGCTAAGTTGAACTTCATTAAAATTAAAATCTTTACTCAAAAGACAACACTAAAAGAGTAAAAAGTCAAGCCATAAATTAGAAGAAGGTACCTCCAGTCCAAATATGCAATAAAGTATCATTTCTAGAATATACAATGAACTCTCACAAATCAATAACAAAAAAAGATTGAAAATCTTATTCTAAAAATGTGCAAAAATATTTAAACGCTTCAAAAAAGACAATATCCAAATGTTCAACCCACATATAAGAAGGTGCTCAACATCATTAGTTATCAGGGAAATGCAAAGTGAAACCACAGTGAGATACCACTAAATAGCTAAAATTAAAGCACTGAGGATGCCAAGTGTTGATGAGGATATGGAGCAACAAAAACTATTCTACATTGCTTGTAGGAGTGAAAATTAGTACACTTTAGAAAACTGTTTGGCAGTATTTACTAAAGCTAAATATATATGAACTGTATGACCTGAAAATTCAAGGAACCAAGAGAAAGGAGTGCCAAAAAATGAGTGTAAGTGGCCCTTTTAGACAAGAATATTAATGGCAGCATTACTCATAATAGTCTAAAACCGGAAACAACCCAAATGTTTATCAACAAGAAGGAGCAAGATAATTAAATTGTGGCATATACAATGAAAAACTGTATAGCAATTAAAAGGAATAAACTATTGACACATGCAACAACTAGGTAAATCTCACAGATATAATATTAAATAGAAAAATATCATTCACCCAAAAAATATTAATGAGACAGTCAAGTGGGAGAGGGTCACTGGAGAAACTCCAACCAGCCCTTCCACCGAGGTGGAGCCTTGGGAAGTGCACACCCTTTGCAGTGGGGAGGAGCCTGGCCCTTCCTCTTCCTGTGTGGAACCTGGGATTTGAACAGTCTGGAGGGAAGTGCTCTAGCAGGGACTCTGGCCTAGGGAGTCCCTCTTTCCCCCTTTCCTTCCCTTTCACCCAATAAAACCCTGTTTTATTCACCATTCAAATTGTCTGCAAGCCTGAATTTTCGTGGCCGTGGGACAAAGAACACCATCTTTAGCTGCACTAAGGAAAAGTCCTGCAACATTTTCAGTGTGCAATGTGGGGGCTCAAGAAGTGGTGAGGGAAATGAGAACACAAAACCTCTCACTGTGGCTTCTAAGCCTTTTCATCCTTGGACTTCTGAGCTTATGGGAAACCTCACCACCACCCACAGTCGCTCCCTGGGGTTGGGAGAATTTTCATGACCTTTTTCTTCCTTTTTCAGGACAGACTGGTGAGCAGCAGCTCCAAGCTGATCTCCACTCCCTGCACAGGGTTAGGACGCATGGCTCAAAAGTCCCCCACAACCAGCTGACTGGTTCCAGCCACAGAGTGCTGCCACAGCCTTCCTCTTCCCTGGCTAACAGGTTTAACTCTATTGAACAGTAATTAAGCTTAATCTTTTCTCCCTGGTGGAGGAATCAGTTGCATAAGAATCAGAGGTTCTTCCTCAAGCATTAAAAAATTTTTTTCTTTCCTCCTCTCCACTCCATCAGCAGTTAAGCCTTAAAGATATTTTCCCCCTTTGCTAGGCCAGATCTCCTAACAATCACTGTTCATTTTTTCTGTAAAGCGTAATTGTGAAAAAGGATTTGTGGGGCTAGTCTTGGGCTGTGGCTAATCTGGTGTGCTTTGCAAGTCTGCATGGTTTGTGCTGCAAGCCTCCATCTTGTTTTACATCCTGAGGGCATGGCCTGTAACTGCTTGGCAAGGCTTTGTTTAGCAATCCTGCCTTAGGGAATAAGTTTCTTTCCGGTTTGATATCTGCATGTTTTCCCATGCCTGTCCTTTAAAAGGCTCCACCCAGCGACTGGGTTTTCTTCTACGTGTCTGTGTACTGTGTGTAATGTCTTTCAAAAGCTCTCTAACTAATTTGGCCTAAAGAAAGATAAGCGCTTGGATCAAATATTTTTTAAAGGGAATATAAAATCTGTGGTACCATTCAGTTCACATGACTTTAATCTTTGAGAAATAAAAGCCTTAAAGATTATTGGTAAACGGTAGATCAGATGCAAGGTTTGCTAAGTGTTTTAAGGTTACAAACTGCTTTTTGGGTTTTGAGAACTATTTGACTTGCTGGCTTGACAACTGGTAAGGCCTGGGGACATATGGAATAACCAGGCCCTTAATTAAGAAAGCAAACCTTGGCTGCAGTTAGCACACAAAGCAACTTACCAAGTTTTATCTTAAAGTTAAAAATGCTAGGAATTATTATTATAACACATAATTGAAACTACTGTCTATGAAGAGTCAAATTCCATAACATATTTTCAGAGATGTATTCTGAGTCAAATATGAGTGACCATGGCCTGTGACACAGCCCTCAAGAGGTCCTGAGAACATATGCCCAAGGTGGTAGGGGTGCAGCTTGGTTTTATATATTTTTAGAGAGGCATCAGACATCAATCAAATACATTTAAGAAATACATTGATTTGGTTCAGAAAGGTGGGACAACTTAAAGTGGGGGCAGGGGGGCAATACTTCCAGACTACAGGTAAATTTAAACATTTTCTGGCTAACAATTAGTTGAGTTTATCTGAAGACCTGAGATCGATGGAAAGGAATGTTCAGGCTAAGATAAAGGACTGTGGAGACCAAGATTTGTTGTGCAGAGGAATCTCTCAGATAGCAGACTTGTAAAATGTTTATGACACCTAAAAGGGTACCTGACTGTTAGTTGATTCTCTCTTGGATCTGGAAACAAAGGAAAGAAAACAAAGGGGAAAGGAGATTTTCTATATTTCTAGAGAATGTGGACTCTTTTTTTTTTTTTGAGACGGAGTCTCGCTCTGTCACCCAGGCTGGAGTGCAATGGTGCAATCTTGGCTCACTGCAAGCTCCGCCTCCCAGGTTCACACCATTCTCCTGCCTTAGCCTCCCGAGTAGCTGGGACTACAGTTACTAGCCACCACGCCCAGCTGATTTTTTGTATTTTTAGTAGAGATGAGATGGAGGTTCACCGTGTTATCTAGGATGGTCTTGATCTCCTGACCT